TGTCCTGAGCTCTTCTGAGCTGAGGTCATTCCTTTAACCCTTCTGTCAGCTAAGTTATGGACTTGTGAGTATTTGCATCTTTTCCATATTCTTTGACTCTGAAGTACAAAAAAGGCATACCTCTTAACCACATATCAGTAAGTGTGGAATAAAGGCATCATTCCTGGTGGAATTGTGGCTGCATATTAGAAATGTCACATGTTGACTCCACTGAGATTTTTTTTCCCCTCAGTTCATTAATGTGTGATCAAAACCCTCAAGGTGTGAATTTCATTGGGAATGGTCAAGTCTAACCCTCTTGAATCTCTGACACTAGTATTTATTTGAGTAGCTTGCTTTCAAATTCTGCCTTGGTCAGTATGGATTCTGACAGGAAAGTCTACGTATTGGAAAATACTTCTCCTACAACACTTTAGCAACCATGGGAGTGTTCTGGTTTCTGGTTGGGTGTGCCAGTGCATGCCTGATGAAAAAGATCATTCACCACTTAGATATGGTACATATTCTTACTGTCCCTTTCCAGGGATAGAAAGTGAATTAAGATGTGTTACGAAGGTTTGTTAGTGCTTGTACTCTATGCTTGTAGAGCTTGTATGGCAAGCAGGAGTTGGTAGCACTTCTCTTTAAACACATCAGATGCAAGTTTCACATTTCTTAGTGACATCTGCTGCCAGTAAAATCTGTAAATCTAAGGTTCTTTCTTGACCCATATGTCCAAAGTCACCATGTAGTGCTTTCTTCTAGTGATAAGTATATTGTGTAATATGCACTGGGCAGCACCGATTGCTTTGTGGTCCAATGTGTGGGATTGTGGTCAGGTATAATATTTACATAGCTCCAACTTCTGCCATTGTTTCAATAGTAAACTGCCTAATTCTTAGCTTCACTTCCTTGTTTCTTGGCTTATATCACTTTTCAAAGTCTTTTACCAGCCATCTTTGTTATTTCTACTAGTCCTCTGCAGACAACTGAGAAAAAAATCCCAAACTCTCAACTGTACTTCTACGTGATTGAATCCGAGCTCCCTGAATAATTATATATAGCAATTACTCCTTAGTTAGGGATTACCGTAACTCAGGCATCACATGGCATTTGAGACAGGGTCTCTGTGTCCCAAATTAGTCTTCCCTTGCTGGGAACATATGCTGAATTCATAGGCTCGTGCTGCTACTCATTTTTTGTAAGCAACATTTAACTTGGCACTAGTTAAATAAGTCAGTGGGTTGTTATCGATCTATGCTTGAAATTTAGTGCCATTCACGTAGTTTTTTAACTTGTTCATTTTTTTTTTCAAAACCAGAAATTCCTGAATGGAGTATAGATTCTCACTGTTAATAAGTTCTCTCTGGGTGAATGCATTTGTTTTCTGATGACCATTGCTTCCTTGGTATGGAATTGCTCTCCAATCCTACAAATTAGCATCTGTGTGCAGGAGAACAAAAGACTTGCTTGGACTTCCCTAGTCTTACATGAATGTGCTGGCAGTTAACTAAGTCCTTGAAAGCTTGTTTACATTTGCCCTCATGTGTACTGATGTCCAAATGGCCTCATAAGGTTTCAAATAAATTTACCTTTCTTGCCCTTTTGCTTTCTTTGTCTTCCATTACATATCTAAAAGCAAGATTATTTAGTGGTTTAGCTATAGCAACATAGGTCTTTAAAAGTTTCTAATAGTAGCCATCAAATACTAGAAAAATTCTTAGAACTTGAAGGTTCTGTGATGCAGCCAATTCAAGAATGTTTCTGTTTTCTCTGATTGGTGCTTATGCTTTGCTGCACCATAATGTGACCTATATCCCTCACAGAGGCTATGCAGAACTGGTACTTGTCAGTGTCATTGACTCCTCTAGTCAATGCAATACTTTCATCAGTCTTCCCTCACATTTGTGGGATTATGGGATCATAGATTTAGGTCTGAAGGGTCCTCAGAAGCCATCTGGTCTAACCCACTGATTTTACAGATGAGGCTACTGAAGCCCAGAGATGATGTTACTTGCCCAAGATTGCACAGGTAGTAAGTGGCAGGCAGCATTTGAACCCAGCTCCTCTGACTCTAAAACCTGTCATCTATGTCTTGTGGGGATTGAATGAGATAATTTATGTGAAGTGTTTTGTGGACCTTAAAATGCTATCATTATCATTATTATTATTATTGTTATTCTCTTTTAGCCATTGAAAAGTGACAGGTAGGGCAGCTAGGTGGCGCAGTGGATAGAGCCCTGGCCCTGAAGTCAGGAGGACCTGAGTTCAAATCCGGCCTCAGACCACACACTTGACACTTACTAGCTGTGTGACCCTGGGCGAGTCACTTAACCCTAATTGGAAAAAAAAAAAGTGGCAAGTGTCCTTGAAATGCCTTGGGACAGAAATTTAAACTGCAGAATATCCATCTGGGCGTATGAAAGCAGTCTTTTCATTGTCCTCTGCCACAGGAATATGTATCCACTGAATAAACCCAATATTGAGGACCACTGGTTGGCTGCCATCAAGACCTCTTGGTATGGTATTCTGCTCTGCTTTAGTTTTCCCGTTCAACATTTGATAGTCCACAAATATTTGTATTATTCCACTTTTCTTCTTTGTCACCACTGTAGATTGATGGATATAGCCTGCTGGATCTTTGAGATAGTTTCTGAGTTATTCCATCACAGATAAAGGGAGCTTCCTAGATCATTCCCAGAATGGTTGGGAGCCAGTGAGGTAGGTTCTGTGAGTTGCTCCTCAGACACATCCCATTTCCTATTTATTCATTGAGAACATGTGTATCCTTCTCCTGGGCTTCTCCTCAACCAGTCCTTACATTCTTTCAGTACTGGGGAATTCCCAAAGTAAAACTGACTGGGATTTGTTTCTGAATTACAAGAGCCAGCGTTCTCATGATGTTGACTGCTTGCCTCTTTCCAACTAGCTTCTGTGTAGACTGCATGGATGGTCAAAAACATGCCAGTATTGGGTCCCAGTTTGTTTTTTGGTTGTATTGTGCTAGTACTTGAAGATGATGATGATTAATAATCATAATAAATACTGGGTCTCCCTGTCTTGCCTTGGCTGGAAGTAAAAGGCCTACTCAAGGACTGATCTCACTCTGATTGGCATGGGAGCTTTGCCCTGCTTCATACACAGAAAGATAAACTGGACCTACTTGAGGCTGTGCTTTTCAAGTTCAGTCTCTCTTTGCAGCTCTTCTTCTGCTCTTAATCTTACTCTTCCCATCAAGTGGCCCAAATTTAGCGGCTTCTGCTGTAATTCAGGGCTAGTGAAGGGCAACTGCAGCTTATGTCATACCTCTGGTTCTCTTGCTCCAATATAACCACTGCTGCTTCCTCAAGTTTTAGTTCTTCTCCTTCTATTTGTATCGTTTAAAAAAACCAAACACCTGAATTACAAGTTTGTGTGGAATAGTAGAATAGAGAAATGTAGCATGCCTATAGTATCCCACCACTACCAAATTTCCTCTGCTTTTTGCAGACATACCTGTCATGTGATTCCAGGATGGGCAACCTTCAGGCCCTGAACAGGTCCCAAAGTGGTTGCTTTAAAGCCTTCTAACAAACTGTTCCTCTTTTTAATTCAGTTACCTGCCTATGCTGTAATGATTCTGTCATATGGCTATTCTAAACTTCGCATGGTTCTTGCTTAGATGGACATGGTTCCTTTCTTGAGAAGGGTCCTCCCTTGAGCTTATAATATCCCTCTGATAGAGGAATTCTAGGCTTGGCCTTACCTATGTTTGAGTTTGTTTTTTTTCCTGGCTTAACCAGCCTTCCCTGTCCATGTGAGCTCTCAAACAGCTCTTTTGGGGGTGGAGGAAGGAATCTGGAGATCAGTTTCTATGTACCGTGTCCTACTGCCACAGCATTAGAAATGTTTAAATGTTTCATTGTATCTGGTAAATCACAAAAGACCTCCTGTGTGGTCTCTCCTGAACTGACCCTTCTATAAATTATTTTACAATCCTCCAAATTTTTATATCTCTTTTCAGTGATCTTATAATGTTCTTTTTCTTGTACACAGGGTCTGTTCTCAATATGAAGAGACCTCTATGTTATGTATACCATAAGAGACCATCCGTTACATATACCGTAAGAGACCATCCATTACATATACCGAAATACATTTCAGATATATCAGCATCAGTTTTTTCAAGAAATGGCTCATGATGGCAGTAATCAGAAAACCGATAGTTCCAGGCCAGGCTAACTAAGCTGCAGCAGTACCAAAGGGGCCCTCAGGCAAAAAATTGCACCAGCCAAATACTGCCCCCCCCCCCCCCAGTTTCTCTTATGACTCATTTTCTTATTAGCTTTTTTCTCAGAGTTAACAAGTCTGGTAGGCATAAATAGATGTACACTCACGCATTTATTGTGGAATATTACTAAAATAGCTGTCTCTCTCTCATCAGTTCATTAACTCCAACCCCAGCTTGTGATGGAAAAAAAAATCTTTTTTTTTCCTTTTGATTTAGCTTCTCTTTAGATCTTGAACTTGCTGATCAAAGGTTTGAGCCAACAACATAGTAAATGGCCATATAATGTAAGAGCAGCTTCAAGTACGTTGTAAGGTAGATTAACCTTGAAAGGGAATTAAGCTTCCAGTTCCTAACATCAGTACCTACCAGTAAAGAGGAGAATAAGTATCTTTTCTCTCACTGTACATCCTCCCACTTGTCCAAGGGAAATGGAAAGTAAGAGGGTCAGACAGGAAAACAGAATCAATGATACTGGTTTCCCCTGGCAACCTTCCAAGGAAGGAAAAAAGCAAATATGGACTGGATCCTGGTATCTTGCCTACCATCTATCTGCTGTTTTGGCCTGATCTCCCCTCTGTTCCCTACTGGTCCTGGTCAGCCCAAGTCTTACTGGCTTTATCTCATTTCCACTGTCTTCACATAAGGTGGTCATAGCTGCTCCCTACTCAGCCACCCCATGTGGAATCCTGGAGCAGTAATCACATCTGACCATGTGGCTATTTGAATTCTCTCCATTAATCTTCTTTTCCAGGCCATTTGGAAATCAGAAGGAGCTGAAACTTTTCTAGAGATCCACCCATGTCTAATCTCTTCCTGTTGTGCCTCTCTACGGCGTCTGTGGAAGGATGAGGATTATGTTTTGGAATTTCAAACTCTAAACTATTTTAAAAGCATTTGTGAATCAAAAAATCTGAAAGTTTATATTTCCTGTTTATGAATAAGCAGTAAGGGAAATATAATGAATTCTCAAGTGTATAACAGAATGTGCTAAATTTCTTATGTTGTAAACTTAACTTAAATCATCTGCATGATTCTACATATCTTTTTTTGCCAGAAGACATGAAAATTGAGTTTAAAAAAAAGGAGAGATGATGTTCAGTTGTTAGCCTTTTTAGAGAAGGTGGCATTGTAGCTAGACCTTAGAGCAGTGGTCTCAAAACCTTATTGATCACACTGTCCTATTAGCAAAATAAATAAATAAAAGATTTGAGTTTGAATTCCCAACACATGTTAATTTATATGTTACTTGGTCATTATACTAATATGTCCATTATAAAACATCCACAAAAATGGAAATTAGAATTAGGCTATGAAGATGAAATATTTCAAATGTTTTTTATATGTTAATGATGCAAGATCCTTTTTGGCTTTCCCTAAAATACTATTATTAGTAATGTTTTAGTGAAAGTCATATAATTGAATATATTTCATTATTTTAAAAAAATCTTGGTTATTTTGTGATACAGAAATTTGAAGTTCTGGTTCTAATTTGATTGTATTTCTGTACATCGTTTTAAGTGGTTATAATAGCTTAAAAAGAAACCCTCACAAAGATACTATAGATCAAAGTGAAAGAAGTGCTCCATTGGCTCTGCTTACTAAATAATGATACTAATTTCTCAGTCCCATATAATTATTTAAAGATTCCTGTTGAAATTCAGCTAGTAAATTTCCATCTTCCCTGATGTCAATAAATTTTTCTTAATAACTTTGTTGGAAAGTGTGAGTTTTTTAAAACAAAATTTTAACAAAGGGATTAAAAATCCACTTAAATTTATTTGGAAACCCACTTAAATTTATTTTTAAAAGTTATGCTTTTCCAGTTTTTAGGTGTGCAGATATAAGTTTTTATAGATGAAAGTCCTTGTTTTGGGCAACAGAAATTAGTTTTTAATTGTTTTGCTAATTGTGATGGCTTCATGCTACTATTTGCTAATACCAAATTCATATTTCAGATAATCTTGATAAAATTTTTTGGCTGACTTAATGTCAGAACTTATTAGACTGTTATTTTTTACCTTGCAATGTGAGCTGATAATGACCAGAAGAATTGTCAATTTTGCCATTTTCTTGTTCATTTGTGTTTGTATCATTAGAGTTATCTTTACCCCAAAGTTTCTTTGTAGAAATCTTTTCAAGTCAGTTATCCATTTTGTGAAGTTTAGTTTAGTTAAATCTACATAATATAATTAATAAGTTCATATAACAAATATAAATCTTTTTATTTATTATTTGCTAGCCGTAATTAATAAAATGATTAATTACCCAGATACTATGTCTCTTGAACTTTTTATCCGCTACAGAATGAATGTCAACTCCTTCGTATTATGGAGCTTACACTTTTCCCTTAGCTGCTTCATGTACCATATGAGGCATGTGACCATTTGACATATGGATTGAATGAGGGTGTGTCATCCTTATAATTAAAAATTAGTAAAGGCTAATTTCTTTTTAATTAACCAGCTAGAAGGTTTAGTATATTTTGGCCACTAGGTGGTGCCACGGTTAGGCCACCAGCCCAGAGACTGCATCAGAGAGTATTCAGTGCAGATGCTTCAGTTTTCTTAGATAGAGGGTGCTTGCTTGCGAACACTTAGGCGCTAGATTACTTCCCCCTCCCATTGTCTTGATCTCTTCTGCACCCTTAGGGTCTCTGTAGCCATCTCAGAGTTTAATATAGATCTATAGATCTAGGGGCATACCCTTACAAAAATAGGCACATTTATCACCTCTGTTCTGTTCTGAGCCCCCACCCCACTTTAGAGAAACCTCCCAGTACTGACCCTACTTTCAAGACTTTATATTTCAATAGACATATGATTTATTGGAACATGGTAAAGTAAATGTAAATGAGCTGTGGACTCCTTTGGTCCTCCTCTCCATCCCCTGAATGGTTGGAACATGGGAAGAAGGGTTGGAAGCAATTATAGGTTTGAAACTAAGATTAGTTCTGCTTGGAGAAATGGGGATTATAGAGGAGAGGGAAGTGGTAGGTGGACATCAGCACAGATATCACACTGAGGAGTGTGATAGTGTGCCTGGCCAGTATTGCTCCTCTCCTCCCGTTGGAACTGAATTACAATTCACTTATTCCTCCCTTTAGATTCCGGCTGCTGCAGATCTCCAGGACTGGTCTCAGCTCTTCTTTTGTTCCAATGTATTTGTGCTACAGTGGCAATGCTTGTGGTGATGAAGGGAGTAGGGAGATGGAAAGGATAAATCCCCAAGGCTATCTTTCCTTATCAGGGTTCCCAGTCTCTCAGAAGCTTTTCCACTTGGCTGTAGGAAGAAAAAGTCCAGGGTCACAGACTGGGAGGACTAGCCTGTCTGCTTGTGGATTCACATAGCATGGAGAAACTCACATGGAATGGTGGACTGGGATATTTGGTGTAGACCTCTGATTCCATTGGTGAGAGGAGCTCCCAGTGTGGAAGCTCCTTCCGCCGATGCAAATCAGCATCTCAACTGCAACTCGTAGCTTTAGGGAGTTGCCTGGGATGCTGAATGTCAACTAGCACTTATTAAGCACTTACTTTGTGCCAGACATTGTGCTAAGAGCTGAGAATTTAAAGAAAGGCCAGAGTCCCTGCTCACGAGGAAGACAGCATGCAAACAACTATGTACATGTAAGATTTATAAAAGACAAATTGGAGATAATCAATAGAAGGTACGTCATTAGAGGGGATTGGGAAAGACTTCCTGAAGAAGGTGGGACTTTAGCCGAGATTCAGAGGAAGCCAGGAAAGCTGGGAAGAAGAGAGGAGAAGTGAGTTCCAGACATGGGAGACAGCCAGAGAAAATGCTTTGAGTCAGGAGATGGATTGTCTTGTGGGAGGAACAATAAGAAAGTCAGTATTACCGGATGGCAGGGTGAGTGGAGAGAAGTAAGGAATATGACAACTGTAAAGGTAGGAGGGGGCTAGATTATGAAGGGCTTTGCATTCCCAAGTTTAATTTGATCCTAAAGATGATAGGGAGTCCCTGGGGTTTATTTGGGGTGGAGAGAGGAGAGTGATACGGTTGAAACTGTGCTTTAGGAAAATCACTGGAGGATGGATTGGAGTAGGGAGAGACCTGAGGCAGGTGGACCCATCAGCAGGTTATTGAAGTAGTCTAGGTATGAGATGATGAGGTCCTACACTAAAGCTATAGAGGGCTTTAGAAGTCCAACAAGATTTCTATATTTGATCCTGGAGGCAATTGGGAGCCTGTAGTTGATCAAATAGGCTGGTGACGTGGTCAGACTTGTGCTTTAGGAAGATCAGTTTGACCGGTGAAGGGAGAATGGACTGAAATGGGGATTGATGTGAGGCTGGGAGACCAACCAGAAGATTACTGTAGTACAGTGAGGTAATGAAGGCCAGCACCAGGGTGATTGCAGCGTCAGAGAGAAGGGAGCATATACAAGAAACGTCATTAAAGTAGAAATGACAGAACTTGACGGCTGATTGGCTATGGGGTTAGAGAGAGTGAGGCATAAAAAATAGTAAATAGATTGTGAGCACGGGCGACTGGGGGATGGGGGTGGAGAGATAATGACTGAATACATAGGAGCTGATGAGCTCACTAAGTGAAGTAGTATAGAGGTAAAAGAGGACCCAAGACTGAACCTTTGGGAATACCCACAGTTAATGGGTATGACCTTAATGGAGATCTAGCAGAGGAGACTGAGATGAAAAGTCAGACAAGTGGGAGGAGAGTCAGGAGAGAGCAGTGTCACAAAAACCTAGGAAGAGCAAAGTATCCAGGAGAAAAGGGTGTTGACGGTGTCAGAGAAGTCAAAGAAGGATGTGGACGGAGAAGAGACAATTAAGAGATTGTTAGTCACTTTGGACAGAGCGCACACAGATGGACGAGCTGTATAGGTAGTCTCTTTAACAGAACGAAGGACCAACAGCAATCGCAATATAAACAATAGGTATTCTTCATCCACTTGCTTTTTCCTGTGTGGATAATTAGGCCAAAATCTTATGAATGGCCGCGGATATCGTTCAAGAAGTTCTAATATTTTGGGACACAATGTCCTCTGCAAACAGAATCATCTGGAAAATCTTACCATCCATAAGGAATCCCTCTTCAATTTGTACGCTGGATCTTCTCCAGGGCAGTGGTGAAGACCCGCGCTGAGCATTCCTAAATGAATTCATGAATGAATTTTTAAAAAACCCAATCATTATTTAGCTCTTACTGTGTGCCAACCACAGCTAAGTGAAGGAAATACAAATAAAAGAGTGAGAAAGACTACACTTTAAGGAATTCTAATTGAGGGAGGTAACAGAAAGGAAGGTTCAGATGCAGAGTGGGTAAGAAGGCCTGGTGAGTCATGTGTTGCCGCAGCATGGCAGATCTCAGAGGTCCGTATGGTCCATTAGCAATTCAGATGAAAATGCTTGGGCTCTAGATGATGTAGTGCTAGGATGATTATGAGGCCTGGGGGACAGAAGATGCAGAGGCATCTTAGAAGTCCAACACTATTTTTATATTTGATCTTGCCAGAAGGATTGTCGGTGATGATTTCCTTTTTCTCCAAGTGCTGTGAGTGACCACATCTATACCTGGGGTGGCGGGGCTGGCGGTACCAATTCACAACTATTTTAAAGTTGAGAGTGGGTTTGAGAATTGAGGTGGAGCTAGGGATCTGTGTTCCCTCATAAAGGAGCAGGAATGGAGGTGCCATTGTCCAGCTAGGAGAAGGAACACGCAAGAGGGTATTAGTAGGAAGTTTGGAGAAGGGCTCCTTGAGGTGGCTCCTTCACTGAGTCCTCCTCCTTTTCTTGCTCAGGGGGCCCCTCAAACACGTTTGTTAGATTTTTCAAGGAACTTTTCATTATTTTGAAGTGTGTATTGGAGACACCTTGTAACAGTATCTTTAAGGGGACATTTTGCTCCATTGAATCAAGTGCCTTTTGTGTGTGTGTGTGTGTGTGTGTGTGTGTAATTAACAGACAATAAAGTGGGATCTTGTATTATCTACATCTTTCAATCAAATGTATGATGGCAAAGATGTAGCCTATTGTAAAATATTATTTGTGAAAGACTACCTGTCCCCTATTAGTAACTCTAGCATCGCTATTCCAGATGAATTTATTGAGCAAATAAAATGGCAGTAAAGACAACAAAGACAGGACATGCAGCTGGATTGGACCAAGTATATATAGAGGAGATTCATTGGTCCTAGAGATAAAACAACTGTTGGAACATTCAGGGATTACTTCACAAAGTTTATGAAGGAAGGGAGGATGCAAAGGCTTAGAAAAAAAAAGTCATACTCTTGTTCACTCACTTCAGTCATGTCTGACTCTTCATGACCCTGTTTGGGGTTTACTTAGCAAAGACTATGGAGTGGTTTGCCATTTCCTTCTCCAGCTCATTTTACAGATGAAGAAACTGAGGTAAACAGGGTTAGATGACTTTCCCAGGGTCGTGCAATTAGTAAGTGCCTGAGTTTAGATTTGAATTCAGGTCTTCCTGAACACAGGGTTGGCACTCCATCCACTGTACCACTTAGCTGCCCTTTCATACTCTTACTAATACTAAAAAGGAAAAAAAAAGGTGGCTAATGTCAGAGTCTCAATTTACCTTTTTGCAGTTTCTACAAATTACTCCTGGTTCTGTCCTCTGGGGACAAACATGAGTCTAATTCCTCCCCTTTGTGAGAGCCCTTCAAGTACTTGAATATAACTCATATGTCACCCTCTCAGTCATCTCTTCTTTAGGATCAGTATTTCTAGTTCTTTTGACTTATTTTTATATGACAGGGACTCCAAGCTTTTACTATTCTGTTTGCCCTCCTGTGGATGCTAACTTATCAATGTTCTTCCTAAACTGTGGTACCCAGAACTGAGTACAAGACCCTAAATGTGGTCTGACTAGGGCAAAGTACAGAGGGACTATCCTCTCCTTATTCCTAGAAACTAGGCCTTTCTTGATGCAGCTAGAGATCACATTAGCTTTTTTGGGTACCATATGACATGACTGAATTATTTTAAGCTTTCAGCCCTCTAAAACCCTGCCTCCCCCCAATTTTTTTTTTTTACATAAGGTGCTGTCCAGCAATGCTTCTCCAACACTTACATATGAAATTGATTTTTTGAACCTAAATATAAGACTTTACATTTATCCCCATTATATTTCTTTTTCTTAGGCTCAGTCTAATGTTCTTCTGTTAATACCTTTTAAAT